TCATCCACAGACGGACGGAAAAAACAGAAAGAATAAACTAGACTATAGAAATATATCTCCGAATATACTATAATAATTAGAAAAATAACTAGGTTTCACTACTACCTATGGCACAGCTCGCGTATAATAATAAGATATTAATAATAATAAAACATACACCGTACTACGCAAATCACGGACGATATCCATATCTCTTTAATTAAACACTTCCTACGAATGTCAAAGTAAAAGAAGCCATAGATATAGTAGAAAATATAAAATAGATATACGAACAACTCCGAGAGAATCTCGAGAAAGCTTAATAGCAAGCAATTTCCTACACAAACCAAAAATGTAAAACGGCACCTTAGCTAAAGAAGGGGGATAAAGCATATTTACTTACGAAGAATCTTCGTACCTAGAAAAGAAAACATAAGAAACTAGATTATGTTAAGGTTAGACCATTTTACATTTCCGAATAAATATCACCAGTAAACTATAAACTTAAGTTACCACTAGACGCGAATATACATCCAGTATTCCATGTGTTACTATTGGAACCAGCAGACCAGGATACACTAGTCAAAACCGCCTTCTACCATTAGCCAGAGAAAGAAATAGAATTTGAAGTAGAACAACTCTTAGGATATTATAAGGTTAGAAGAAAAGACTTCTAAGATAACTAGTTCCTATAGGAATAGTTAGTTAAGTAGAAAGGTTACCTACACTTAGAAAACACATAGGAACTAGAAAGTGAGTTAAGGAAGAACTACTAGCAACTCCTCTAGTAAGTAAGGAAAAGGATCTATAACTACCACTACTATACTAGAATAACTAGGAACAACTTTAAAGGAAACGAAGACTACTTAACTATAATAATTAAATAAAACACACCTAGGAGGAAGGATGAGGCATGGAGGCCAACCTATTAATTAGATTTAGAGTTGACCACATGGCGGCGGAATGCCCCACCTAGGCCATAGTAGCGGGATAATTAATAGTCACCACATTTACATCTTCACCCTTAGTAGCCATTTCTATAGCAAGATATAATGTCTTCTTACAAGCACGCTCTTTAGCCTAGGCTAATATTCTCTTATTTTATAGTATACGAGCTATTACTTATAATAACTCCTTTTTATCTTCTTTAACCTTCTTCTTATACTCCTTATAAGTCTTATCTAGTAAAGACTAACTCATGTTCACATATAATCAACTAAGGCGAACGTATTTGGCGCATTATAGGCTAGAGTTAGGCATAATGAAATAAGTAATATTTTCTAGGGAATAGTTAATATAAGGATTCTCTATAATAGTATTGGCTTTAATAATTTCTTAATAAAGGTGATATTTCTAGATGGTAGAGTTGGTGGGCATAATACTAACCAATAGAGTAAGTAGGGTAAGTAATTAGGCTTATATAAGGGCCGCACGTGATTTAAGGATAAATTATAGAAAGGAGGGGGATAATGTTAGGATCCAGATCTAATATAAGATAGAAGGGATATTATATATACAGCCATGGGCGCGTATATATAAAAGACCCTAGTTAGTACTAACTATGGGTTAAAGGTGCTTAGGCGGGTCACGTAACTAATTTATAGTAGATTACCTCACATGTAATTAATCTATAACAAATCACCTTATACGTAATTAATCTATGCAGAGCGATCTATATAGATTAGCCATGGACTAAGTATATAGGAACTTAAAGGAAGAC